GGAGAATTTGTTAACATAAACTTTTAAAAGATAATTTCAACCGGGTTGGGAAATGAGAACTGCTTATCTTTCTGCACAATGATAACACCACTTATGAAAAAAACAATCTCCAAAAAATCTCGAAGATTGTTTTTTGTAGCTTTTCCCCCCTCTGATTCACGCATTCGGCAGTTCAAACCACGAACTCTTCACGCTGCCCATGCCGCAGTTCCCAGCCAGCACTGTTCAAAGGTTGATAACTTTTGTTATCGGATCCCTGGCAAAGAACCCAGTTCCACAAGGTCACACACAGTTCTCCAGTATTGCATCACGGGGCGAGATTATGCGCATCTAGATCTACAGTCGGGGTTAAAAATGTGCATCGACGAGCGACACGATACTATCAACGAGCGAAAATCTACATGTAGCACGAAACGACACCGATACCGACATTTAACAAGTCCTGACGTCTGTTCGTTTTTTAAAGTTTTAGTAGAGGTTTCACGGCGTTCGCAACTGCATAAGGTCATATGAGCGCCAGAAGATTAGATGAGTTACAAGAGAGTAAGAAACATTAAACTAGAAGAAGGGGAGATAAGAACAATAGATCTTTGATTTAAAAAAAGAAGAAGCAAACCACACAAGAGCACCCGCTAACCACGCACTCTGTTGGGTTTGGAGTGGTTGTCTTTCCGTCTTGTTTAGAAAAGGCAAATCTAATACCCAGAGCCCATTGGCACGATCGGTTCGGTTTTCGTTCGGTTTGGTAGACGGATTGAGGGCGCAAAGCGACCATCGTGGCATGCACAAATCGATCGCCTGACTTGCGGCCTAAAAAAGAAACGCGTTTGTCTTCAAGGCCACAAGTCGAGCGATCGGTTGGCGATCGGTTTGGATTAGACAACCGATCCCCCAATGGGCACCAGGTACAAGGTACCGGATTCTGAGATAAATGCAAAATTCGTCACCTCGTCAGTTCCGTTCCAGAGTAGGTTGGGTGGAGACGAATAGGGGGGGGGGGGTGCGGTCCATTTTATAGAGAATCTTCTTTTTTCAGTTAGGAAGTATCCCACACTGCCTGGGTTACACCTGATAGGCAGTGTCTTTTACCTGACCTAACTTTTTTGAGGGGGTGGGGTGAAAGATGTGGGGGAAGAAGAATTGGGTCTATTGCACAAACGTATGTCTTCATGATTTGTTTCGTCTCCATATCATCTCAGTCGTAGTTTTTTTTATGACCTCAAGGAGCTCAGAGAGATAGGACACGCTGGCGGTTTTTAGAGCTGAATATGAATTCTGCTTATACAATTGCAATCATTGGTTGACGGTAATATAAACCTCCAGGCGCCAATTTTAAAGAATACACACAAAAATCTGACCAAAAAGAAAAAAAATAGAACATTGTCAAAAGTATTTCTTCCTAAAACGCCAAAACAACAAACAAACAAAACACACAAAAATCACAATACACGTAGAAGTATGTGAGATGTAATTAGTATAATGAGCCAATTTAGAAACGTCTATAAGTTTCCGATGTGCTGTGAGTGGGTCAGGTTGGACAAATCGTGCTAATAGTCACTTCTTTATATATTCTTTTCGGTAAGTGTTTTACGGCGCTCGCAACTGCATAAGGTCATATGAGCGCGCGGGACACATTAAACATTTTCAGTTGGTAGGAAATTTTGAATTCAGCCCAGGTGGCGGCCGAAGCCTACTCTTATCGATTTTACACCATCAAGGGATCTTTAACGTGGGCAACTTGCACACGGCTCCTCCGAGATTTTTCGCCCTTGTCTGAGAAGGCTATTTGTAGATCTTTCCTAACAGAAGATCAAGGGTGTGGCTGAAAGACAGCAGTAAGAAGAAGCCAAAGAGCTGCAGTAGAAAGGCTGCAGAAAGAGTCAGGAGCCGAGAGGAGGGGGCAGAGGATGTGAGAGGGGCAGAAAGAGGAGACGAAAGCAGACGACAGGATATTGCTAGAGAGCAGGAAAGGAGGTGACAGGAGACAATTTTAGGGAATAACATTTTTCGGTCGCTACCTGGATTCGAACCCATGACCTCTGAATGAAAGGCCAACACCTTAACTTGTTGGCCACGAGAGCCCCGTTCTTTATAGATTCATCTTCGGGACATGGCCACAAGCATAATAATCGCTTGGTTTTCGGGATTTCAAGTCGATCAGTTTGTTTGGTTTCTTGCAAACTGGTTTAATGTCAATTGTTATGATCTAATCCCTCTTCCTCTTTCAATGTACCCAGATTCAAGTTGTGTGGTCATGTCCTCTTGGAAATGCCGGAACAGCATGAGGATAAAGCCATGCTTGCAACACATGACGGTTTTCCTCTAGGTAAACGATCTCGTGGGCATATTGTTAACATTCTCAGAAGAAATAAATTTTTATTATTATAATAACTACTATGTTGAGTGTAACCCGAAAAGAATCTATCAAATAGCATTGCTCTTCACGCGTTAACTTTGGCATTTAAAAAAAATTATACCGGGGATATCAACGGACTAGTCGATATGGAATGAAAGGGGGTTTTAGAGTGTGACAAATTGACCTCTTTTTTGACAGGGGAAACTAGCAAAAAAACAGCACAACACAAGTCAAAAAAACTAAAAAGTTGGCTGGCAGCTATTGATAACTTATCATAAACTTTTTTTTTTCGCTTTGTACCAAAACACAACCTCAGGGGTCAAACAAGTACTCGTGTATTCGTATTTTTGCACTTTGAGTAAAGTAGTTTTATCAGGTTTAGAGCTTGGGTAAAAGCTGACTTAAGTATCCCATTCTTTAAGCTAGGTTAGAATACTCTTTTCTGAGCGACATCATGTTTACCCCCATATTGGCTCTACAGAGTGTGGAGACTGAGGGCTTAAGTAGATCTTACATTGCAAAAAACAAACTTGCTTGACCTGGTCATCAGTTATAGTACAGTAATCCGAATAGCGTCTTCAGTCAACGGAGTAACGAACTGTTTGATACGTTAAAAAATGACAACCCCCCTTTCCTTAAAAACAGACAGACAAACAAACAAACAAACAAACAAGCAACAACCCCCTCAACCCCCCACACCCCCCCAAAAAAAAACCAACAACAAAAAACAACCCAAGTGCCTTCAGCTTAAAAAAAAACCCAACTAATTCTGTAGGAATAAACAAAAAGTCAACCTAATTTCAAAAGTCAGTTTGTTCTGTGTTTCTACTTTAGCGGTCAGAGACACTGTGACAATGATTTTCCTTGTACTCCAAAACGAAGGAGGCGGAGGGCAATGTCCAAATCCCTCAACTTAGTTACGACAATTCTATCGAAAAATGCAAGTGCATTAAGGGTTCAGCGAGCCATTCATTCATAATAACGACAAGGGTAATATTTAGAGGTCAGAGGCACGGTGAAAATGTTTTTCCTTTTACTCATAAACGAAGGATGTGGAGGGCAATGTCCAACTCTCTCGACATAGTTACGACCATTTTATCGAAAAATGCAAGTGCAATAAGGGTTCAGCGAGCCATTCATTCATAACTACCAGGGTAATATTTAGAGCAAAGACTGGGTAGAAACTAGAGATGAAACGCTTCAACTTTGATATCGCTGAATTGTATTAAAACGGGTAGATAACAGACTACAAAAAAAGGCTTTTACAAGACGTTTTAAGGGGGTCGATTACTAAGTATTTCTCTGAAAGCTGGGCTGACATGGTTTGTGTACAGGCTGATTTAGGTGAGTGGAGAAGGCAATATAGCTATTTGAACGTCGATCAGGGCAATATCCTTTGTTATAGTGCCTGACGTGAGAGTGTGTGTATGTGAGTTTATATGTATGTGTGTGTATGTGTGTGTGTGTGTGTGTGTGTTGCAAACTTATTTATGTGAGTGTGTGTGTGTGGGGGAGAGGAGCGCGCGGGAGGGGGTGGGTGGTGTAAATATAAGACCATCAAACGAAACATGCCCACGAATTCACTCAAGAACTGAAAAAGACCATGAAAGTAGCTATAAGGCAATCATCGGAACTATTCATATAACAGTTTAGATCCTGGAAACGGTGACAAAAAGCTCAAATTCAGCTTGTCCGAGTAAGCTCCCTACTTTTAACTATGCAAATTTATACGGGGTGCCCACTACGGATGGGATCGGCTGATCGGGCCGATCGCCCGACTCGGTCGCTTAAAAAACAAACAGATTTGCTTTCAGTTACAAGCGATTGAGTCCGGCGATCGGCCCGATCCAGCCGTAGTGGGCACCCCGTATAATTTGACAATCATACCTGTACATAGGTGACTAGAGCTGCTCCCACCAGCGTGATGCCTACGTTGATGCCGACCCACATGAACACTGGCTGGACCAGGCAGTCTTCCTTGCTGCATTTGTCCAGGACTGAGACAGAGGTCAAGGATCAATAATAACTGGTTTCAACGCCCTAGCAGCAGAAGGCGCAATTTTGAAAGCGGTTCAAAAGAGGGAGGGGGAAATTAGTTGTAATAGCTTGTAAAATTAGGGGAAAATGAGTTGAAAAAAAAGAAAATAAGGGG